CCCTCCCTCTCGCCCTCCGTTAGCCTCCGCCCTCTGGCCCATTTGTGCGCGCGCGCGTGTGTTCGGCGAGAAAGCCCCTGCCCGGTGCCTTTCTTCCCTCCCGCTTCCCATTTTGTTGGCATGCTCCGGCAACTCCACTCGCAGAGCCGCCACATCACCGCCCCGCTTCAAGCCGCCGCCACCGCCACCGCCGCCGCCGGCGTTTCTCGTCTCCTCGTCAGCGGCTCCGCCCCCGGGCCCTGCACCCTCCCCCGGCGCACCTACGCCAAGGGTACCAAGCGTCGCGGCCGGCACGTCCGCCAGCGCCCGCTGACCAGCCCGGCACTCACCCCCCGCGGGCCGTACGATCTCGCCTACTCCAGTCTCCGGCCGGGCACCAGCGCCGACCCCAAGCAGCAGGCCCCCTCGGGCCGTTCCACCCCGGCAGCCCCCGGCCCTCCGGAGGCCACAGAGGCCAACCGCCTCCTCCGGGAGCTCTCCCTCAACCAGCCGGCTCCTCGGCGCCCGGCCGACGTCGAGCACAAGGCTCCCCAGGGCACGGCTTGGGCCCGTGACATTGCCCTCAGCGCCCAGGAGGCCCTCGCGCAGCAGCAGCCTCCCTCCTCGCCAGCCGGTAGTTCGTCCCTCGACTCGGAGTTTAGCCTGCCCGCTCTGAAGTCCGAGCTGGAGGCCCTGCGTTCCGGAGCCCCGCGCCCGACCACCACCACCGCCGGCCGCCGTACCGCTGCCCAAAAGGGCGCCCCGGCTGCCAGGTCCCCCGGGTCCACCTTCCTCCCGCCGGCCGACCTCTCGGAGGCTGTGCATCTGTCGGAGCACCTGCAGGTCCTGTCGACCTTGCTGCCGGACTCCTTCCCCCGGCAGGCCATCGCCCCGGTTTCCCCGGTTCCCATCTTCGAGGGGCTCCAGCACGACGTCAAGGAGCACCGCCGGTTCCTGGCTCACCAGCAGCGCACCGGTGACCACTTGACCGAGGCCACCCGCGGCTTCCGTGAAATCCGCCGCGCCGAGGCCCGTGCCCGCGCCGAAGCCAACGCCCCGGCCTCGCCTGCCGCCGCCGCCGCCGAGTTGCTCAACCCGCCGACTGCCCCCCAGGCCGTCAACCACTCCAAGATGCCGGCCACCCCCCCGGCTTCCTCGGCCGCCGCGGCCATGGCCGATCTTCCTGCCTCCACGCAGGAGGTCCTCCGCGCTGCGGCTCGCCTGTCGGCTCGGCTCCAGTCCGAGCGGTCGCTGGCCCAGCTCCAGCGGCTGTCGGACGAGGGCCAGGCGGCCGCCGCCACGCCGGCTGCCGACCATCCCCCGGCCCCCGCCAAGTCGGTCCTCGGCCTGCGCGCCTTCCCGGTGACCGACGACGGGGTGGTTGCTGCTGCCATGACCGCCGGGCCTGATGCCCCCGCTGGCGCTGCCGCCGCCGCCACCGCCGCCGCCGCCGCCACCGCCGCCGCTGGCGATGGATTGGATGAGCAGCTTGCCCGTGTGTCCCTTTCGGAGGAGGGCTCTGCCTCTCCGTCTGGGGCTGGCACGGCCCCCTGCTCGCCGGGTGTCGGGCCCGATGACACGCCGGCCGCGGCGGAGGCCCATCTCCCGGGCAGCATCCGGACCCTGGGCCCGGTGTACGCGTACGAGGACGACTCGGCCCGGGTGGAAACCCTGCGCAACACGCCGGCCAACTTGACGTACGTGTCCCGGCGCAACCGCAATGTGGACGCCGTGTCGGCCGTGACCGGCAAGCTTCAGCGGCGCATTTCCCTGGCGCACGCGGTGTCCATCCTCAACCGGACTTGGGCCAACGACATGTATTCCGAGGCGGTGGATGGTGCGGCCGAGTCGCAGTTCGTCGTGGCCGAGATGCTGCTCTATGGCTGGGGCAGTGTGGTGCGTGTGTTTTCCCTTTTCCTCCTGGCGCTCGCTTCTTTTGCGCCCGCCTCTGGCGGCCCCCTTCGCCCCTCGGTGTCCCTTCGCTGGCGTGCATCCGCCCACGGTGTGCCCCGTCTCCCCCCTCCCCAGTGTGCGGGGTCGCTGGTTGTGCAGTTCTCCTGACTTCGCCCCCCCCCCCTTCCCTTCCCCGGACCGCCTCGCACCGCGGCAGCGCCCCAACCTCCCGAACGCCATCAAGCTCCTGAGGGCCAGCGCCAACCAGCGCCACGTCCCCTCGCGCAACCAGCTCCAATTCATCAGCCAGAGGATCCGGGAGGGGGCCACCGAGGAGGAGATCCTGAAGTCCTTTGTTCCGGCGGCGGAATAGCCGGCGTGTGTGAGGCACACGCGCCTGCGGGGATGGGCACACCCTTTCCGCACGCCCTAGATGTGCACCCCTCCCCGCCCGAAAGACCCAATATATCCGACAAACTTCCCCCCTCCTCCATGTGTACGCGCGGCGGGGCCTGTCCTCCTTTCGGCGTTGATCGTGCACATGCACGTATGCACACACACACACACACACACACACATGTGCACCGCGCGTGCGGTCATTTTGGGGGGAGTGTATTCCTTTCCAGGGGGGAGGGGAGGACTTTCACTCCCAGAGGCGCGCGCCAGATCTCGGGGGGGGGGGGGGGGCGGAAGGGAGCCGGCGGGCAGAGGAACGAGACTATGTCTCCACCGCGCGGCCCCCGCCCGCTACACGACGCACGCGCGAGCACACGCCCCTCCCCGGGTCGTGGGTGTCTATTTCTTGGCGGCCTCCTCCCTCTTGCGCTCATCGGCCCTCCGCTGCTTCTCGCGCATGATCTCGGAGTTGCTGGGGCGAGGTCGGCGAGAAGGGGTTAGTCAACACACTTGCAAGGATCGACATGCCAAAGGAGGGGCCGGAGCCTGCCGGACGCAGAGCATGGCGCGGGGGGGGGGGGGGGGGGACGCACTTCTCACGGGCCTGCCCGATGTTGCCGCCGGCCGGGCCGGGGCCGCCCTTCTTGCCCGCGTTGGCAGCCGCGCGCTTGCGGGCGCGCTCGCGGTCGATGTCGCGCTGGTTACCACCTGCAGATGCACATCAAGGTGGGGCCATTTGTGCGTGTGCATGGGTGTCAAAATGTCGGCTTGAGGCCTGAGGCGAGGCTATGTGTACGTGTGTGTGTGTGGGGGGGGGTGGGTGGGTTGTGCAGGGTACGGGTCATGGTGTGTCGATGGGGTCCTCGGGGTGGGCTCCAGGAGCAAGTGTGCCGGAGGGGAGAGGGAGGAGAGGGGGGGGGGGGGGGAAATCTGGCGGCAAGAAAGTTACCGCTGCCAGAGGGGAGGGGTGGATGGGCAGGATTTTTTTTTTTTTCCTTTCCCTCCCCCACCTGCCTGCACCCAAAGTCAGTCTTTTTATAGGCGCGGCCGGCGGCGAGGCCTGGGCGCGCCCCGTCTCCCCTGCCCGTGTGGTGGCCTCTCCTTTCCACGGCGGGCTCGGCCATATCGGGCCGGGGTGGAAATGTGATCGGCACTGCGGACACCGTTTTGGCGCCCGGGGGCCGCGCGCCCCGCAACAGCGGGACACCCCTCGCCGGCCTTGGGCCCCGCGCAGCCGCCGGGACCATCGCCGTGGCACCGGCCGCGTCGGTTCTCCCCCTCCTCCTCGCCGGGCTGGCATGTTCTTCCGGGATGAGTTCCCCGGCGGAGCTCCCCCGGACACCCGCGCCGGCCGGCCGGCCAGCCCCACCCCGGCAGCGGTCGCAGGCAGCCGGGGGATCTTCTCGGTCCCCCCCCCCGTCCCCGTCCCCGTCCCCGCCCCCGCGACGTTGGCCGGCCCGTCGCCCCCCTGCCCGGGGGGAGCGCACTGTGCCGCGCACCCCGAACAGAACCGGGGCGAGATTGGGCCACGCAGAGACGCCCCCGGCTGCAGCATGCCGGTGCTGCTGGGGCCGGGCCAGGGCGCGGTCAACCCGGCTCGCGCCCTGTGGAGCGCGCATCACGTGCCGGGTCTCGTTTCGTGGCGGGAAACTGTGGGCCCCAAGTGCGCGCGCGGGCCTGCGCCGCCGGGGCCGGCCTATTAAAGCCCGGGGCCATGACCGGGGCTTGCGCCCGGCCCCCGGGGGGACGAGCCCGGCCGACAAGTCCGTTTATGTTTCTGATGGAACAATCCTCCCCACGTTCCTGTCAGTGTCAAAGGCGGACCAGAGCCGGGGCTTGTCGCAGCCGGTGCGCCCACCCTTCGTCTCGCCTTCCCCCTCACCGGGGGGGGGCGGGGCCTAGACAGGGCGCCCTGGCGGGCATTCCCCCGCCACAGGGGCCAGGCCCAGCATCAGCCGCTCCCCCACCGGTTGGAGCGGCGCCCTTGCTGTCGGCCGTTCAGTAGTATCCTTGGCGGAAATTCTCCCTTTTGTGCCTCCCCCCCCCTCGCCCTTCTTGCCCCACGCACAGCACCCGCCTTCCATATAATAATTGAACCTTTTCTCCTCCGCCATGGTGTGGGGGAGGAGGGGCCCATGGCGTGCGCCGCCGTCCTGCCACACCCCACGCGCCCTCGCGCCCTCGCGCGTCTGCCTGGCAGCGACACGTCGCCTTGGCGCATGGCGCACGAGGGTCGCCACCTCCGAGCAGGGGCCCCCGCACATGAGCGCACACACACACACGCTGGCGCTGCCAGCCGCAAAGGACGGCGCCCTGCCGCCCCCCCCCCCCCTCCCCTCTAAACAGGCATCCGACAGTGCGGTGCTCCTCCTGGACATGCGCGAAGCCAGACGCCCAGAGAGGCTCGGGCGGGGGTCTGTTTTCTCTTCGGGCCTGAGAGGGAGATCTCCCCGGGAAGTCCATTGGGGGCGGGGAGAAAAAAGTACACAGGGCAAGAAAGGGCCCCACCTCGCCTATGCAGGCAGGTGTGCCGGCTCGTGCGCGCGTGCCTCAGATCGACAGGCCGACATTGGGCCCGGCCGACTCGAACTCGCGCTTCCTCCGCCGGGCCGCGGCAAATGGATCGTGCGTGTCGTTCAGATGCAGCCGGCGGAGACGCAGGTATGCGTCGCGGGCAACCTCGACCGCGCTGTGCGCCGCGGCAAGGCGCTCGGCCACGGCGATCATCGACTCGTTCTGGGCCTTGATGATGTCCTTGACGTCTGTTGGCCGACCGGGAGCACGGGTCCCACGCAGCGGGGGCACATTGTCGCGGGGTCAGTCGCCAGGCAGCCGGGTCGGGGGGGGGGGGGGACATGCACAGAGGGAGGGGGCGCAGAGGAGAAGCGCCCAGGGGGCCCGCCCCGCGTCTCCGGTGCGCACGCCGCTCATCTCCCTCTTTGCGCCTTTCTCCACCTTGCCAGGTGGATACACACACACACACACACACACACACACACAATATACACACACGCGCGCAAAGGCGCAAACGCACCAGCCATCGACGCATACATGGAGCTGTCCAGCGAGGAAACCGTGGTCTCATAGGTGGCGATGTCCTGGCGGATGGCCAGCATCCGGTCCTCCAGCTGCCCGACCAGGTTCTCGAAGAAGGTCATCAGCGCCGGGGTGGTGCGCGAGTCCAGAGAAAAGAAGTGTTGCTCGGCGGCCGCATCGCCGGACGACCGGCCGACCCCGGAAGTCCCGGCCGGCGCGCCCTGATGGTTGCGCTTGGTGATGGCCTCCCCACCGAGGCGCTCCAGCAGGCGCTGGGCCTTCTCCAAGTCCCGGTGCAGCTTGGCCGTGGCATCGCGCGCCCCGTCCACCAGCCAGGCATTGCGCTTGAGCAGGCCACGCACCGCATCGTGGCGCACCTCCAGAGCATCGGTCCGCTCCAGGACCGACTGCGTCTGGTAATCCAGCGACCCGCAGGAGATGGTTGACGAGGCCGACGTCGACAGCTCGTCCAGCGTCTGCCGGACCTTCTTGGTGGTCTCGCTGGTTGTCGGCGACAGGGCCCGCCCCAGGCCCGCGGGCGTTAGTGCGCAGGCCGGGCAAACGCATGCGACCATGCAAGGAGAGGGCGAGGGGAGGAGGAGGGGGGGGGGGGGGGGCCGGGCGCCATGGCTGGCGAATATGCTGGCGAATGGGCGGTCGTGCAGATGTGGGACAGGCACTGGGCAGGGCCGGCAGGGGGGGGGGGGGTGGCACGAAGATGGAAAAGCAAAAGAAGAGGCAGACAGACAGGCCGGCCGTGTGCGGAGAGAGAGAGAGAGAGAGAGAGAGAGCCGCCTGCATGCGCGGACGCCGGTGGACGTACTACAGCGACAGGAGAATCTGCTTCTGATCGGTTGTCAGGTCCGAGAATCGAGCACTCTTGGGCAGATTCGCCAGGTACTTCATCTGCTCCAGCTGCTGCATGTGGATGCGCATGAGATTCTGCTGCTGCTGCTCCTGGGCCAGCTGCGCCGGGGTCTTGGCCGGGGCCTGGCCCCAGCCCGTGGTACCGCCGAACCCGGAGGTAGAGGCCCCGAAGCCCGAGCCAGAGGCCCCGAAGCCCGAGCCGGAGGCCCCGAAGCCCGAGCCGGAGGCCCCGAAGCCCGAGCCGGAGGCCCCGAAGCCCGAGCCGGAGGCCCCGAAGCCCGAAGTGGAGGCCCCGAAGCCCGAAGTGGAGGCCCCGAAGCCCGAAGTGGAGGCACCGAAGCCCGAGGTCGAGGCACCGAAGCCCGAGGTCGAGCCGGTGGCCGGGGCACTGGCGCCGAAGCCCCCAAAGCCAGAGCTCGACCCGGCCGCCGGGGCGGCCGCGCCGAAACCGCCAAACCCGCCGAAGCCGGAGGACCCGGCCGCCGGGGCAGCGCCCCCGAGCCCGGTCGACCCGGAGGTCGGGGGATTGGTGAAGGAGGTGCTGCCGAAGGAGGTGCCACCAGCGGCCGGGGCCACCGTCGAGCCGAAGGACGTGCCGCTGGAGGCGCTCGGCGCGGCGGCCCCGAAGGCGGTGCTGCCAAAGCCAGTGCTCGCGGCCGGCTGTGCCGTGCCGCCAGCCGGGGCGGTTCCGAACGAGAAAGACATGGAGGGGGGGGGAG